GACGTGTGCTCTTCCGATCTGAATATGTGCTACTTGGGATAATGTGTCCTAATTATGCCTGTATTACGTCCGGTGCGGACATTTTGAGTATGTACATAGGATGTCCTTAGAGTGGAACATAGGACATCCCTTGTACGTCCATCGGATGTATAATACACAGGACATCCGACGGACATATTGAGGATGTCCTCAGGACCTGTACCGAACATCCAAATTGCATCCTTGTTACATCTATGTGTTATGTGGGAACAGATTAAAAAATCCTTCTCCACAATTAAAGTATAGGCATCAATGTAGTTCCGGCTGATAGAGATTATGCTGAGAACGCAAAAAATTTATGAAATAAGCTGTCACATGTGCCAATATTTGCTTCGTACAACAATTTGGCAGTTTGTTGGTACAAAATATCAGCCGAAACTACGAATTACATGTACAAACAATGTTGAGTTCATAAAATTAGGCTTGAATGCCTAATAAAAAAGATGTATATTCTTGAAAATTTGTTACGATGTATGCGTGCGATATTGACGTAGTAGTGTGTGGTGATGTGTTCATGTTTACTACCATATCGATATCTCACGCACACATCGTAACAAATTTTCAAGGACATACATCTTTTTTATTAGACATCCAAGCCTAATTTTATGAACTCAACATTGTTTGCACATGTAATTTGTAGTTCCGGCTGGTATCATTTTGTATCAACAAACTGCCAAATTGTTGTACGAAGCAAATATTGGCACATGTGACAGCTCATTTCATAAATTGTTTGCGTTCTCAGCATAACCTCTACCAACCGGAACTACATTGATGCCTATACTTTAATTATAAAGAAGGATTTTTTAATCTGTTGCCTTTAATTATCTTTATTTTGTTTTGGAAAATAATTGCGTTTGATCGATAAAACAGACGACTTTAGGATCGCCTTAAGGGGATGCCGGAATACCGACATTTGCAGTTGGAATGATAAAAATACTGAACGGAATTAAAATCGTTTTTACAGGATTGAAATAAACATAAAATGTAATGGGGCGAGCTATTTTTTTTATGTAAAAACGACAAAAAATTAAAAAA